CCATAGTAACTAAATAAATTGCAAAAGAGTGCAATAAACTACAAAGAAATTGAAAAATGTTTTTGATTTTACACATTCTTCTACTCAAAATTGCAAATGCAAATGCAAAAAATTCACAGTGTCTTTAAATTTCATTTTTGAGATGCACTAATTTTTATTAACTGCAGCAAAAAATGAAAATGGATATTATTGTGCACAATTTGCAAAAACAGCATGTGCATCAAAATAAACTATTTCCAACAGTGCAATCAAACCTAAGCATCCTGGGAACAATACAGAAAGAGGCACAAAGTCAAACATGACTTTCATTAGCACCAGTGGACCTTTCACAGGCACTGGAGGGGAAAAAAAGACAAACAACAAAAAAAACTACCTTTCCCATGAAAATGATGTCACTTCCTTTTTTCGCAGGTAATGACAGACATGTGATTGTTTGTGCTGACAAAGTGGTGTACACGTGAGGAGTGGAACGAACGAACTATTTTCAAAGGCAGTTTATAAGGAGGTATCATAACAAGAAACTGAGCGCGATTTACTAATATATAGACTTCAATTCAAAGCTATTTGGTGATTGGACTCATATGGCTCAGCACAGTGAGACTGAATCCCAGCAGTGACAGGAATTGGGGCAGGAGACCCTGGAGTCTAGATGCTGGTGGTGGTCAAGATAAAGATGGAGGCTTGGATGGAGCTCTGAGATCCTTGTATGAGATGGAATTTGGGTAAAGGTGGGTTGCACAAAGAATGGAGGCTGACTGGCTAGAAGAAGGCTGTCAGAAAGAAGACCCAGGAAAGCTGACAGATGAGAGCTTCCTTAGTGAACTTACGAATTAGGTTGATTTTCATGTGCAGGTGAAGCCTGTTACCTCTTTATGCCACGGTGAATCAAGCAGATAAAAGATTTGGAGTTCAACTTTCATTTGTTTACTTTACCCTGGAATTCTGAGCATGAAGTCCAAAGATGTGTTAATGCTGGATACACTAGAGTTGTGCATGAGACCACAAGAAATCAGTACAGGAGCATGTGTTTTATGAGATAATAGTGGGATGTTCTCGCTTGTTTTGTTTTTGTCTTGGTTTGTTTTTGTTGTTGTTTTTTTTTAGCAAAATGTGTGAGCATGGCTATGCTTCTGAATTCATCTCTGTCATGGTCCTGGGTCCTTTTGACCCAGCGTTTTGTGTTTTCTATTAGTGTGATTATTGGTTCTGTTCTTCCTCTGTTTAGTGTTTACTCTGTTCTGCCCGTGTGTTCCTGTATCTAGTCCGCGTTTCTTAGTTTGTGTCCTTTCATGTGTAAGTTCCTGTTTTATTGTGAAAGTCTGTATCTTATGTCAGTGTGTTCTGTTTACGTTTCCCCTGCCTCGTCAGCTGTGATGTCTTCCAGGTGTGTTCCCCTCCTGTTTCCCATCCCCTGATTCCTGCCGTGTGTATTTATAGGGTGTGTTACCTCGTCCTTGTGCTGGTTCGTCTGTGTTGTTTCTCCCTGCGTCTCTCCGTATGTATTTCCCCGGACCTCCCTGCATCTTTGTTTCTGGTTTGTTTTGTTAGTTTTACCCAGTTTAGGTTTTCCTGTTTCACCTTCACCCATGCCATTGCTGTTTGTATTTTCTTTTGTTAAATAAATACTCATCTGCACCAGAGTTGCCGCATTTTGGGTCCTATCTCCAATTCCACACGTCTGCCACACCGGACGTGACAATCTCGCTTCATTTAACTTCCACAGGCATATCAACTCTATGACAGGTCCCAGTGAAGATATTTTGGGGCTCACATTGTTCTGGAGCAAACACAGCAGTAGCATAATAAATAAAATCAATAGTATAATTTCAGCTTTTGATCAGCATCATGGACAACAACTGCAGTCAGAGGTGAGGCGAGTGGACACACATATCTAAGCTTATGCTCTAATCCCACATCATTTTTTAACTAAACTACCAAAATCCCCCAAAGAGATTTAGCTTTGCTGAAGTAACACAAAGACAACTGTGATCTCTACAAGAACAGAAAAAAAGAGAGAACAACAGGTCTTCACAGACTGGATGAGGTCATCATGACAAACAATCACACTCATTTAAAGAATTGCTCATTCAATGAGCTTTTCCAGTGGACCAGCTTCTAGATGTAGCACGCACTCACACATGTATTACAACATATATATTTTTAACATAAATTGGTAGCAATGTTTCAGTCCTTCACATAGACACAAAGGCAAACAACTCACCCATCAGAACTTCGTCTTTCGAGCCTTGCTCACAGCAAAGTCAATGACAGCGTTGCTCAGATCCAAAGTCCTGACAGCAAACTCATCCTCTCTCTGCTCTCCTTCCTCTTCTGAGAACCACTTTCATGATTTACTTGCTAACAATAAGACAACAAAACATGCCTAGTTGATGTTAACAGGTTTGCGGGATTTTTCTTAAATTAGAGAGAGACAATGGACACGAAGGACAGATTCCAGACCTACAACATGGTTTCCACATCCAGATTTTTCCAAACAGGTGCTTGTTCGAATTCATTTCATTAGGGAAAAACTGATGGAACCTTGAATTAAACATAGTGGATCTTATGCTTTTTATATTATCAGATATCCACTTTACAAAGGTAATGTGAATATAATTCTCCAATGTTGTATGAAGCAGTGTTCCTTTGACTTCTTTTGTGTGACTTAGCTCCTCTGTCTTCTGATGCAGACGCATTGCCTATGCTCACCCGGTTCCACATTACTAAGACCCATATTTTGTTGGGTGGTGAATTTGTAGATACATTGAGCCCCCACAGCCTCCAGGTGGCCCCCAAGCTCAGCCTCAGTATCTTTGGGGAGAACTAAAATGATTTGTCTTCATTTGTGGCCAGACATTTAATTTAAGAATTAAATGAAGAACATGATCAACGATAAGTTGCAGTGACAGAAAAGCTGTGGCTTGTGTTTGTGGAGTAATCAATTCAAAATCGTCATTAGTTTGTCATTCGAGGAGTGATGTCTACTGACAGGTAAAGTGGGATCACTGACAGCGTGACATCATGTCAGGAGGCAAATAATGGTAGCCCAAGCCACAGCCTGCCTTGATGACATCAAAAAGGGCTCATCCATCTCAATCCTCAAGAAAGATGTGCACATCCTAAAATTATCAGCCACTACAGTACAAGCTCTACGATGTTTTTGACAGCAGGGTAGGTGAACTAACCATGGATAGGGTGTCACAGATAATACTACTGCTGAGGTTCAACACTCTCTAAGCCTATATGTACCAAGAGGAGATGACCCTCTAGATTACTGGACCAACATGCCACCATATTCCCTCATCTATTCCAGCTGGCAAATCTTTCCACTCCAACCACATCAATCTCCCAAGAGAGAATATCATTCAAAGCAGGAGATTTTGTGCAAAAGACAAAATTGTCTCAGTACTGTTGAACACGTTGTTTTTCTTAATAAAAATAATTAAACATGCATAAACACACCCTATAAATATTGATTGATGTCTTTATGTGCAGAAGCACAACCTACAATTACTGACTGGTTCAAACAAAATATCCTTCCATACAAATAATACTATAAACCAAGAGAAAAGGTGACAGACAAAAAGACAAAGACACATGAAAACATTCATATTTATTCAGTGCAATAATTTAAAATCACATTTATTTGGCCACCAGATGTCGCTGTAGTAATGTGTTCCAAATTCTCCAAAAGATCAAATCTTTTTCCAAAACAGCTGTTCCAAATAATTAGATCTCTCCAACGCTTCATTTCTGCCATTGCAAACCCAAGGGTTTAATATGAAATACTGGGTCAAGTTACAAAGTCCAAAAAACCAGAGAATATGTAAATGAAAGCCTGGGAATCCAGTGTCTCCAGAAATCATTAAACATATGGATACAGAACCAGAAAAACGGCGGAAGCGGAGCGGACGAAGAGTAAACTTTCAGAAGTAAGTACTGAGTATTATGTCACTTATTTATGCGCAAATGTTTTTATAATGAAGAACATTAAAACATTACTGTTGGCCACATGTCGGGAAAGTTATGTGACATTAGCGACGTTTGTACTAACTTGGTTTTAAAGCCTTTACTTCAAAATATACGCCGTTCAATAGTTGACCTTAATCTTACAGAGAATGTGATGATTTTATGGATAATTAAAGTCAGTCATATATCCACAAACACAACAAGCAGAAAGTCAGTGATGCTGCTCGGTTTGCAGTCCTGAATATCACGGCACAAGCAGGATCCACTGCACTGTTAATGTTAGCTATGTTATATTGCTGCCTCTGTTCGGTGGTGTCGAGCCAAACGGACTTTAACGTGTGTTTGAACGAGCTGATGGTTCACTCGCTAAGCTGAAAGAAAGATGCTTTAATATATATATATCACCAGCAATAAAAGTGTCTGTATATAATGATACATTTGTGTGATGGTTATGAATAAATATTTCCTCTAATAGTTAAAAAGCTATGCTTTCATCCAGACTAAATGAAGATCTTCTGGATTAGTGAGATGCTGCTTCTACTCCAGCTTACAGTCTAAGGAACTTGGAAAGAAAAGCGTCTGGACTTCTTAAAGTTGCTTGAAGACTTTTCACCTCTCAACCGAAAAGCTAAAACCTAGCCCTAACCCTATCTTGTGATTTCCTGAGGTCAAAAGGCCCAGGATGTGAGTGGGCGTTAAAGCGTCTGGGAAGGGAACTCAAAACTGGGTTATAGATGGCAGACAGTTGGTGTTGTAAGCCACCACCTCTGTTCATAGATTGTCGTTGACAGTGGAAATAGACGGCTTCCTTCACTCCTCTTTCAAACCATCTGTCTTCTCTGTCCTAAATGTGAACATTGGTGTCCTCGAAGGAGTGACTTTGTCCTAGATGCAGATGGACTGCCAAGTCTTGTCCCGTGGAGGTGGCTCTTCTATGTTGTGCCATGCGTTCATGAAGTGGGTGTTTGGTCTCTCCAATGTAGGGGTCTGGGCATTCCTCGCTACACTGTACAGCATACACCACATTGTTAAGTTTGTGTTTTGGAGTTCTGTCTTTGGGATGAACCAGTTTTTGTGTGGCTGGGTCTGAAGTACACTGGGATGTTGTGCTCGGAGAAGACTCTCCTGTGTTTTTCTGATAAAGATGCTACATAGGGGATGACAATATTGTTGTGTTTGTCTTTCTGATCCTCCCTAGTTTCTGTCTGATCGTCTTCTCTGTGCCTCTTTGCTGACTTGATGAAAGACCAAATAGGATAACCACATGTTTTAAGAGCTTCCTTTACATGTGTGTGTTCAGTGGAGGAAATACAGTCTTACATCCTAAATACTGTACAGTCATATAAAAGCTCTGGGTGCTCTCTGCGGGGCAGGTAGGTAATAACGTAGCAGCTTCCAGAAGTCAGAAGAGGGCAGCATCGAGCTTTTTCCCTTCCAGGTGACACAGTCTGCAGCTTTGCAGAGTTTTAAGGCCTCTGAAGATGAACTTGTGCTCAAGACTCCTGTCTCAGTTTTAATCAAAACCACGTGAGTCTGCAACTTCATGAGGGATGCTTGGATACTGTTCAGCAGGTCGACTCCTGAACCAGAATCTTCTGAGCAGGGGACCAGAACCACTGTCTGACTCTGCTTTATGCAGTCTAACACAGCCTCTCCTACAGGAGCAGACAAGCACAGATCAGAGTGCGTTGTTTTCCCCTTGATTGAATTTGTAAGGACAAAATTTAGAATAACAATTTTGTAAAAATATGAAAAATGTAAGCACCTCTCTCTGGTACAACATCAGGACTGTAGCGACAGAGACTATAACCAAATCTGTACTTCATTTCACTCTCCAGCCTTTTTCTGTCATCTTCATTTAGTCCTGGATCTGTGCTACTCTTGTAATACATCAAGCAGGCGTTGTAGCTTTTTCCATCTAAATGGAAAAAAATTAAAGTGTTGTTTTAAAAGTGGATAGAAAAAAGCAGATTTTTGCCGTTCTGACAAAAATGTGAACACAGACAATGTTTGAATTAGCAAAATATATGAATACTGCCTGGGATGGTTCGATGGCAGCCAAGAATTCGACGAAGGAAAAGCATGATGTCGACTTTAAACTTTGCATAAATAATTGCTGTTAGTACCATCACCATCAGCACAAAGCCCACAATCCATAAAGCCACAAAGTAAGAGGAAGGAGCAGCTGTAGGGAGTGATGGGGATTTTCTAAATTAGCTCATCTAATAAATAAACACATTAAAGAGTATTATTAAGTACTCAAAATGTTCAGCTGGCCATACCTTTTTGTTTTAGAGTGATAGTGACAAAGCTTGTTTGGTAGGCAGATTGCAGTTTACAGGTATAGTTTTTTGACAGATCCTCCTCTGACACTTTTCTGAAGATTAGAGATATTGTCATGCTGATTTCCTCTGTGCTGATGACCCTGAGAAGAGAAGGAAATGACTGAGGCAGATCTAAACGCAGAATTCATATCTGTGCTGATGTGACTACATATAACATCAGTGTGACCCACAGAGGACTTGTGTGTGAAATATTTACCGTGTATCATTATAGAAAACTGGTAGACTAGTGTCTGTATCCACAAATGAATTTCCACTTAACCAAAACAAGCCATCAGTGTCTGACATCATAACTGCTTTACAATCAATCATCACTCTTGAACCTAGAAAAAGCAGAGTTAACACAGATTGTTATAAATGATTAACATTTAAGCTTTAGCCAAGAGTGTGAAGGTGTATGAATATAGACAATAACTCACCTAAATCTACCTCAAATACCTGCTTGTTCTCTGGTAAAATTATCACTGCTTTCTTAGTTATTTCTGTGGAAATAAAAAAAAAAAAACCTTTTGAAAAGCACATATTAAAATCATTAAAAATAAATATCTGCAAAATGTGTTTTTCTTACTGTTTGGTTGGACATCAAGTTTCACCGTAGAGGTCATGTTATATATTTGACCATCATACAGGTAAGAGCGGGTGCAGGTATAGTTGCCACTGTCCTCTTTTTTCACACTTGGGAAGTAACCGTCTTTTGGTGATGGCCCGCCCTCCTACAACATATAAGCTCAATTTTTAAGTAGTCAGTTGTCAAATTTGGAAAAACATTAAAACCCTGTAACAATATTTTACAGTTTGATCTCATTCACATAATCTGCTCTGTTTACCTTGTGCCATGTGATGCCGCTTCTGGTGATATTCAGGGTGTTAAAGCGAACATTTTTTTCAGGGCAATACAACTGGCAGTACTCCTCTGTGTAACATACTTTAGAGATCTGGTTCATTTGTTCAGAGTCTCTGGACTGCCCTGTGTATACTTTGAGGCTTATCCAGGACCGTCTGCTGGAATTCCTACCAAGGAAAGAAAACAGTAACAGGAAGTTTTAACTTTCCTTCTGAGCAACAGGCAAAATGAAACAAAAAATGTGAAAGTAAGAGAAGACTTAAAGGATTAGTTTTAAAATGATGTTCATCTACTATTATTAGCTGAGAAAGATTTGTGCTGCAAACAGTGAAATGAAACTAACATATCTGGCATTCTGTATAAAAATCCCTCTCAGCTTCGCCTTCAGTAATCCATTCCTTTAATGCTGGATTACTGAGAGGCTCTTCTCTGACCTACAGAAGATGAAACCTGATAACCTGTGATACACTCATGCTTCTTGTGTGCCTTTGTCTGATTTTATTTTACCTGATTTATTTATTTTACTCACAACAGAACTCAGAAAACAAATGTTTTGACTGAGATGTACCATTTCAAAAAAACACTCATTTTGAATTTGATGACATGTCTCAACAAAATTCAACAAAACACTTTTCAACCAATAAAAGGTTGAGAAGGAAGTGTTTGTGTTACACATGAAAATCATGATTTTAACTTTAGACCTGCAGGCAGCACTGGTTTAAATTTAATTTATCATGAAAATCACAGCATGGGCTCAGGGACACTTGTGCCATCCACTAATGTAGGCTAATGCACCACCACGTAAAGAACAACATAATCATCTTCTATGATTCACTGAGGCAAAGCGAAAAACTGTCCTGAGGTCAGAAAAAAACAAAACTTGAAAGAGTTTTTGGCAACGTGTTACACAGCTTGTAATAATGGATGCTGAAAGGTATATACATGAGCCACATATACTCTATGACTATGTCTTTTGGAGAAGGCCTTGCATATTTCAGCAAGACAATGCTAAACTGCATACTGCTGTCATTACAACAGCATGGCTTTGAAGTAGAAGAGTCCGGGTGCTGAATTGGCCTGCCTGGTGTTTAGACCTTTCACCAATCAAAACACTGGACAAAAAAAATAGGGCAATGAAGAGTGACTGTTGAGAATGGGACAACATTCCTTTCCCAAATATCCAGCAGCTGCTCTACCCAGTTCCCCGATGTTCACAGACTGTTGTTCAAAGAAGAGGTGATGCTACACAGTGTTAAACATGGCCCTGTCCCACCTTTTGAGACATGTGGCTGCCGTCAAATTCAAAGTAATTAATTGAAAATTATTAAGAATTATTAAAATGATTGTTTTCTTAAAATTTACTTAAAATGGTACATTAATTGTTAAACCATCTAAGTTTATAAAAAAGTGATTTTTTTCTATGTTCTAGTTTGAATAAAATATGGCTTTGTCCCAGTTTTTCTGTACCTTAACAACAACCCGTCGTCCTCAGTTGTGTTTCAGGATTTGCTAACTTCAGATGGCAGGTTGTTATTTGCAAACACAGGATCCTCACATATATGTTACCAGCATTTAGGGAAACTGTCATACCATAATGCCAACAAGCAACCTGGTTCAGTACAAATATAAAAAGTGCTTTTCTGGTGTCGTGATGTTCAATAAAAACCTTAAAATGTTATAATAAAATATAATACAAGTTAAACTTGCTCTGCTATCCTGTCGTATAGGAAATAGTACTTTATGTCAGTGTCTGGGCACGACTTTTGTTTGATGTCAGTCTTAGACAAGGAAACCATTAATTTTACCGAAAAGAGCAGGAGTAATTCCCCTGATGGTTTACTGAAGCTCTGAGAATAACAAGGATTCCTCCATGAACCAGCACACCCATCTGCCTCTGCTCAGCTGATGTTGACATGTTGAAGAGTTTCATTTCATCCACGGTGTGACTGGTCCAGAACACCTCAGCATCTCCATCACGGTACTCTCTGTAAGAAGGGCACTGCAGTACCGCCATCTCACCTGCCTCGACATTTACTTCCTGGAAACTCAGTGGGCACACACCTGTCAATGACATTCATAATGACATGTGAAAAAAAAAGTTGCTTTAGTCTAAAAAGATCACATTTGTCTGGTTAATGAAACTCGGGCTTCACAGTGCAGTCACTAGCAGTTCTGTACTTTTACCCTGAGCTAATGTCACCGATATCTTTAAATGCCACAGCATTACCACAAAGGGCAAAAAGTACAGCCCTGGTGCCCCTTAGCAGGCTTCCAGAAACTGGCTAATAAGAAAATTCTGTGTGTGTGTGTGTGTGTGTGTGTG